CTTTCTTAGCAACTTTTTGTTCAGATCTCATCTCATCGTTTATCAGTTGGAAGTTGGGCTCAAAACAATTCTCATTGGTGACACTAGCCTTATCCTGGTTTTGAACACATATTGCAGCTGTGATGGGTGTAGTATTTGTCAAGTTCTCTACACTGCCCAAAGTTCCCTCTGTTCTCAGAAAGTCTGATATAGGTGTTTGAGATGTTTTCATGGTCGCATCTTCCAGTTTATTTTTAAACCTATGGGCCAATCTCAGATTACATCCATGGGAACTTTTTTGCTTCTATTTCCTTTTTCATTTTCTTGCACTCCATATTCTTTGTAAGATTTAATCACATTAGTCTCCGTCGAGGCAATGATTTCTGAGTATCGAATTTTAACCCCTTCTTTTACCTTGCACTTTTGAATTGCTTGCTCTAAGGGATCTTGGAAATTTCCTTCAAGGTTACTAGGAACCTTAGCTGAACAATTTGGAGTTTCAATGTCGTATATCCACGGAACCTCCTTATAGGTCCACTTTTCATTTGGAAGCCACTGTGGCTGAACATAGCGTGGAGTAGTTAATCCAGCTGAGAGCATTTTTGAATGTAATTTTTCACCCAAAAAGTAGAAGGGAGGAAATTGAAAATCCTGAACATTCTTTTTCTCATTGATCAGCCTTTGACCCTTTTTTATGCTCCTCTTCTTTGGGTAAAGCTTATGTCTTACAACAGAACTTCTTTCTTTCATTGATTCTTCATTCACCATTAATTCATCAATGTCTCTTGGGACCAAATCTTGAGGCTGTCTTGAATTACCATACTCACTAATAGGTTCTTGATCATCAGACACTATCATGTCGAACTCTTCATTATCATTCAGAACCTCATTCATAGCCTTCGCAGCAGGATCTTCTGGTTTCTCTCCATGGATTATATCATTCATCATGTCCAGCAGTTTGTTCATTTGTTATTTTGAATCATCTTGGAATTTTTTTGCTTGTTCAATCATCTCTTGTTGAGTCTTGATAATTTGCTCTTGTAGTTTCTCAATTCTACCAACTCTTGCTAAAATCTCATTCATGGCTATTATCCTTCTTTAGGAAGACCAAGTTAGCTCCACTTTGATTTTAAAAATTCTGTCATGGAATTCTCCACGAATTATTCCACGTTGTCATGATTAAATGAATGAAAAATAGTTTAAAATAAAATGTAATTATGTAAAAATGAAAATGTAAATACAAACGTAAAAAATGCAAATGTAAATGCAAATGTAAATATGTGAATGTAACAATAAAAATGCAAATTGTGCAATACAAAAGCAAACATAAAAGTATAAATGCAAAAATGAAAAATGCAAAGATGCAAAATGCAAATGTATGTATGAAAAGGTGTTTTCTCAAGAGTGATCATCTTAGAACAGATTTCATTGAACACAAAAGTTTCGGTACATCAAACAAAACTTTTACATGTATGGGACATCTTTCAGTCCTAACTTCTCTAAAGTCGAGTTAATTTTCATTCATGCTCAATAGTTGAATTATCAGTCTGCTTCAATTCCTCGTAAAATCAGGTTGGTCTATCAGCTTATGGGTCATATTGCTTGTCTGGACTGCAGCTTCTTCCATGACATTCTCTTTCATCTTCTGTATCAATTCTTGGAGTTGCTTATTTTCCCTTGTAAGAGAACCTTTCTGTCCAAGAAGTTCTTGAACAAGGTCTTCATATAAGTTGCAGTTCTTTTTCAGCTTGGTGACCCCTATTATCCACTCTTCTGGGGTACTTCCTAGGCCAGCATTTTGAAAGGTTTGACTGATCTTCTGAAAATCTTCATGCATGGTTTTCATTTCTGTGCTCAATTTCTTGTTTTGGTCGTTCAAGTCCTTCAAATAACATGCTCGAGCTTCATAAAAACCTCCACTACTCTGAATGTCCCGACTGATACTCTTACTGTAGACTGCTTTTGGTATCAATCTGGTAGGATCTTTGTGTAATACTTTTGGTATTAATATAACCGATTCTCTATGTACAGAACTTCCCTCGATCCTCGTAGTTTCTTCAGGATGTCTTTCCTTGGCCGCATCATATTTTGTTTGATCATAAAAATTTTTGTCCATTTACGATTTCTTTCCAATATGATGAACAGTCTTTCCAGTAAACACCTTTTGGTTATGCCATGATCATGCAATGCAAACAAAAGAAATCAATATGAACAGATTAGAGCAATGTAACATGCATGAAAAAATAAGAAAAAATAGAATAGTTAGTACCAACTAATGGAAAAAATCTATCTATCAAGGTATAAATCTTAACCTCATGCTTTCTAGTTCCATGCTTTGTTTGGAAAATTTAACCTAACCGCATGATTTCTAGTTCGCATGCATTTATTCAGGAAAAAGAAAAGGAAATAAAATAAATTAAAAGCTAGAGCTTATTTCTCCTTTGTGTATACCTATTGACAATGGTTTCAGATCGGGAGAGTTTCTAGGGTTTATTATATGCAGGTTTTCAGTTCTAGGAGTAAAGGTACTCGAACTGTCCTTGTTGATGCCCCCTTGAGCTGTCAACCCTCAATCCTAGTCCATTATAGACTTAAGCGGATCGAGTTCAATTCGAGGGGACACATTTCTCTATGCTTGACACGGAGAATAAATTCTCACGAAGACATAGAGCATATGAACCCCGAAAGTTACTTGCTAGGTCTAACACGGAGAATAAATTCTCACGAAGACGTCGCTTTCACTCTCACTTAAAAGGGACAAGCTTGATTAGAAAGCTTATGTTATGCAATGCAAGTGTTGTGTGTGAGGATAAATGTTCAAACCTCTAACAAATAAATAATAAAAATTAATATTTGAAAATAAAGCATTAATTAAAATAACATATAAATATTATGAAAATAATAAGTATACATATAAAAATTTTGAAAAGAAAGAATTAAAAATTAAATATATGAATTTTTAATTTTTAATTTTCTAATTGATAGAGACAATTAATAATTGGTTTTAAAGTTTGACCAGTCCCCAGCGGAGTCGCCAAGCTGTCGTAACCGGTTTTCGTTCGGGCATGAAATTTTACTTGGCGGGAAAAGTAATATGAATAAATTAATGATTTTGATTTTAAAAAATATTTTGGGAGTCGCCATCGGCCTTTTGGGTCAGGTAGGTCGAATACCTAAAAAATCATCTTTTAAAAGAGTTTTTAAGAAAACATCATTTAAAAGATAAACTAGTTTGCGTTTTAACCAAAAATTTGTTCTTTTTAATAATAAAAAGGGATTCGTGGTCGGTTACGTTTAGGGAATGATTAGCACCCCTACAACGCCCAAAATTGGTACTTTTTAATTATAAATTGTCTCTAATAATAGAATTTAAGAATTCAAATATATTTAATTTATAATTTTGTTATCTCAAATTTATTACTATAATTTTTAAGAAAATCTATTAATTTATATATATTTATAAATAAAATATTTATTTATTTAAAAATATCAGAAAAGAACTTCTAGGTGCCTTAAGACAGCTCTTTTCTTAAAAATAAATAAATATTAAAATAACATCTTTCTAAAAATAATTAAAATAAATTAATATATATATAATTTATAAAAATATGATATTTATTTATTTAAGAATATCAGAAAAAGACTTTTAGGTGCTTTAAGACAGTCCATTTCTTAATATTAAAAAATAAATATTAAAATATGATTATTTTTCTTAAAAGTAATTTATATAAAATTAAAATTTTAAATAGGATTTTTATTTAATATATATATAAAATATAAAAATAAGTAAATAAATATTATTTATTATATATATTTATATGATACATAATAATAATCAATAATAATTAAATATATAAACATAGAAAAATAAATAAATAATGACTAAAATAAATAAAAATAAAATTATATTATTAAAATATAAACGATAATAAAACTTGTAAAATAAATGAAAGTATTAAAATTAAGGACTAAATTATAACATATTAAAATTAAAAGCTCTAATTTAAAATATTATAAAAACTAAGTATTAACAGTATGATTTATCTTATATTAATTATTCGGGATTGAATTAAAAATTAATAAAGTTACAGGGGCTAAATATATTGTTTACCCTAAATTACATAATTACTGGAAATGACTAAAATATAATAAAATAAAATTCAGGAACAAAATTAAAATGCTCTAAAACTTAATTTAGTGACTAAAATATAAGTCTATAAAATCAGGAGGATAATGCGTATGGTTTTCCCATTCGGGAAATTACACAGAGGCCCTCACCAAAACTACGTCGTTTTGGTAAGGTTATAAATAGGCCTAAATTATCATTTCTCTCCATTTGCTTCTCTCTCTTAGAGCTAGCTTCTCTCTAGAGCTCCCTCACCGGAGGAATACCGGTGACCGGCCGGTCACCGTCGCCGGCCACCGTTACCCAAAAAAAATCCTCTTTTATTTCTAAATCCGATTTCGGCTTCCTCTTGTTCTAAAAACCACCAAATTCCGTAGATCTAAGTTTTTACCTTCGGTTTTTTGGTGGTTTTCCGGTGATTTGGATGCTCCGACGAAGGTAAGTTGCTAGGTATCTTCACTCTATTTTATTATTTTTTTTGTTTGATTGCTCTGCCCCCTCCCCTTTGCTTCATTGATGGGGGCTTTTTATAAGCTTTTTCGTATAAGGAGGATAACCCGGTGAGTCACTGGCCAAAGGAGGTGATGGAAGCCACTGGAACTGGGACGTGGAGGGGCTGCTGTCCCAACTTGCTGGAGGCTGTTTGTAGCTGCAACGTAGAGAGGCAGCTATCGTTGGTTGCTGGATAGGGAAGGTAAAAATGGTGATTACAGAGGTGGGAAGGGGGAATGAGAATGACAAAATCCATTTGGAAAGGATTTTATAGAAGACTGGATCCATTTACCAAAACATTCGCCTAAAAACACATTTGTAGAATTTATCTGGTAGAATGCAATAAATATGGTCCAAATGCTTAGAACATGTGAAAAGTTAAAAGGTTTCATTTGTTACTCACAGCATCTTCCATAGTTGCACGCCATCCCTGCATGGATGATAGCCCATATCTAACCCTATCATTCTCGCCATCCTCTGAGAATTTCTCAGTTTTGGGGGTGCTGAGATATATACCCATCTATGTCTGTGAATGGGTGAATAGACATGGTCAACTTTTAAAATCCAATGCTACTTAAAACAATTTGTGGCTTATTTGATCTCCCAGACTATTGCATCTAAAACAGTTTGAAAACCAATAAGGCGATAGCTTTATTAGTTGCTGAAAGATGTTTGATAAGCTGATCTATTAATTCAGACATTACCAAATTGAATCATGTGGAACATCAAATAGTCTCTAATCAAAGAAATAGAGAAACTCCTAATCATGAGAAAGGAAAAGATAATGTTGAAAAAGAAAGACCCAGATCCTAAATTGAATACTAAAAAGAAATCACACCTGAACAAGTCGGAAATAAATTAAAGCTCACTACTTTGCCAAGTTCAAATTAAGGTAAAACATCTAAAATACTCTTACAGAAAAGAAACAAGTGAAACTCGTATCTAAAATTGATACATACAGAGAACATAAGATTCAAAAGAGAAACACATTTAAAAATACTTTTCACTAATTATATTTTCTGAATAAATCATTAATTTAGATACGAGTTTCACTTGTTCTTTTCTGTATGAGTATTTTTCAGAAAATATAATTAGTGACAAGTATTTTTCTAAAAAAATATAGATAATATATCACAAAATTAATCTCATTAGATGATCGTCGAAGAAGATTAGAGTATCAAAACATTGAATAACTAAATATGAACATTTTAGTATCGATCTTGATGTTAATTATAACCAATGACAGGTAACGATTGATAGACAAGGACAATCGAAGGTGTTAACGATTTTATGTAGGAATCAAATTAATATACAAACTAAAATTCAGTATCTGAATTAAAATATTTTAAAATTTAATAACAGAATTAATATGTGCATAAAATTATGAAAAACAAGACAATTGCACGATAATAATTTATTAGTCTAATACTCTAATTGAACTTAAAATTAAAATTCAATATTGAATTTGAAATAGTTTAATGTTTAATTGAAAATAATGCAAATCTATAGTTAATTGAACTTGAAACTTAAGTTCAATACTGAAATTGGAACAATTTAAAATTTAAGGATAAACATGATACATCATATAAAGTTTTGCGATATTCATAGTTTGAGGCTTTTGAGATGAACCCACAGTTTTGTTAAACCAGTTGATTAATAATTATATAACCATGAAACCAAACTTTGGAATTGTTTTTAAATATTTTATACTCAGATTTATGATTTATATATAATTTTGATTCATGGTTGTTTTTCTTATAATAACTTATTGAAATTTTAGTCAAAATTTGAACATTTTAAGATTATTCAAATTTGTTGCCAATATATTGAATGAAGTAAACATATTTTACAAAGCGGGCGAAAGTGGTGTTCCATGATTCCTTTTATCCTTGTCATAAGGTGGACTTAGTTTCTGTTTTTTTAATGTTTTACAGCCGTGCTTATTATGAACAATTAAGCAGAGGAATATGATAAGAATATAGTTTCGAAATCGACGTATTCTGTAGAATAAACAAATGTGACATTGTTGAACCTCCCGTATCTTTCAAGCTTTTTGTACGTTAAAGATAAGATTTAAAAGAATGATAGGATATTAGATCATTAAGTAATAGTTTGATATCAATTATGATCAAGGATGTTTGCTTAAGCAAAACCCATCCTTTATTCCATCAAAATTTTAAAACAACACCAATTATTATTATTATTATTATTATTATTATTATTATTATTATTATTATTATTATTATATTATTATTATTATTATTATTATTATTATTATTATCCGTTAATAAAGTTGACATTCTTTATGTGTGGTAATATAATAATAACTAATATATACAATACCCGTTTCAAAGAAATGGTTTTGTAACGCATTGAATCTAGAGTTAGATGTTTCGGACTAATTCGAGAGTCTATAAAGATTTATTTAGCATGTAAAAAGCCTAAACCCAATTATGAAGTGAATTGGGCTTGATTGAGCCCATTATGGTTTAAAGGGGTATTCTTGAAATGAGGTTAGAGAAGAAATGACCAAAAGAACAATTAACCCCTAAGCCATTTTAAAAGTTTATTTCTATTTAAAATGGATGATGTAAATGTACATGCCTATATTTTTCTTCACCATATCCATTTTCTTCTTCTTCACCATATCCATTTTCTTCTTCTTCTTCCATTTTCTCCCTTTATTTGGTGTAGTAAGAAGCTTAAAGGTGAAAGCTTGTTCTCCAGCCCTAATTCGAATTCCTTAAGGTAAGAAAAGAAAAATCCACATCTAGTGGTTCAATTCAAACCCACTTTCTCATGGTTTGGTTATGGTGACCAAGATGGGGAGTTTTAGAAAGGTTTTGGATTTTAGAACTCTTGGGGTGTTCCAAATCTGTCCCAAAGAGTTTAGAATCACGTTTTTACTTTCTATAAACCTTCAAGTAAGTTAGTAATACATTCATTTACTTTTGGTTAGTAAGAGAAGTGTGAGAAAGCTCAAAGGTGAAGAGCAAAGAGAAAGAGGCCATTGGGTGAGCTTGAAGTTGTTCCTATAACTCATAGGTGTAAGGTAACACACTTCTAACCTTTTCTTATTGCTTCTAGATTAGCATGTATAGTTTTGGAGCTTCTATGAGTCTACGAAGCATTTGGGTGCATTTGGAGGTTCAAAGCATGAAAACGGGAATTTGTTGTTGTTCATGCATAAAATGATGACCTTTTATGACCCTTAAGTACTAAATAATCTTTAAACACCGTTTGGGGATTTTGGGGACACCTTAGGAGTGTTTTGGAAAGTTTTAGACGAGTGAAACAAAGTTTTTTGGGCATAAGGTATCGGTACTGTAAGAAATAGTACTGCCCATGTGGTATCAATATTGCTCATGTGGTATCAATACTGCTCATGTGGTATCAATACTCAGGGACTTGATCAAATTCCAATAAGCCATTTTGGTATCAGTACTCAAGGGAGTATTGATACCTAGGGTAGAGTGTCGTTACTCCCATATGGGGGTATCGGTACCGAGACATTTTTTCAAAACATCAAAGGTAAAATTGGTATTGATACTCAAGGAAGTATCAATACCCTAAGAGATGAAGTACTGATACCTAAGGGGGAGTATCGATACCCTCGTGAATTTTTGAGCTATAAGGTTAGTTGAATTGGAAGGATGAAATAGGGGGTCTTGGTTGAGGAAATAAGCTTACAAGTGAAAACCTTAATAATTGTGTGATAACATAAGATCTTAAAGAGGTAAGATTCTATAAGACTTATGGCTTGTTTGACTCGGGTAACACTAAGGAAACTCGAGTTACTTGTGTACGACGTTGGTATAGTTGAGTAAGGGATTATCTTGATATATCCAAATCAATGCTTGGGCACTTTAAATGCTAGTTGGATGTAGTGCCGATGCTAAGTGATTTGTCCATATCCCAAGTACTCTACAGGAGTATATTAGTCGGGCGTTGGTATAGTTGAGTAAGGATAAGCAGACGATGATGTTGGGTGACCCAGATAGGGATGGCAATGGATCCTGGACCCGACCTGAATTTGTAGATCCAAATCCATTTTACAGGGTCTGGATCCTAATATTTTGGACTCTGACGGATCCAGATCGGATTTGGATCATCTGATTAAAGTACGAATGATGGTCCTGACCTAACACTAAGATAACGGGTCTAGACCCATTTACCTTTTTATAGAAAAGCCCATATATATATATATGACATAATAGTTTTTAAAAAAATATATAGATATTTTAAAGAGGAAGACGTATGAGTTCTTATATGTTTTAAACTCGGCTTTCGACAATAAAATATTTCATGATCTACATTTTTTAATGTTTATGTTATTCAAAAGACATTTGTGTAATTGTGTGGAGTTTTTTTGAGACTTTAGTTTATTGTTTTTTATTTTGTTACTAGTTGTATTGAAATTAATCTTTCCTCCATTGGAGATGTGATGTGAAATTAGTCAATGACAGTTTTATTACGTTAAAAATAGGTCGAATAGTCATTTTTTAACATACCCATTTTGGACCCGGATCCATGAGATTCGTTGGATCTGGGTCTCGATTTTCTAGACCCGTGGATCCAGGGCGAGTATGGATCCAAAATGTAAAAATGGATCTGGATCTGAGTCTAGTTGGATCCGGTCCAAATTCAGCTCGTTGCCATCCCTATAACCAAATCTCGCCTAAGTTTCTTTAGTAAGCAAATAAGGGTGTGAGCTCCTTAATGCTAAGTGACCCTGAGCTACACCATGATGCTTACTTTGGTTGTTGTGTTAGTGTATGCAAATGTTCATAACTATACTTGTAGCATGCTTATATGTTGGATGCATGTAGTATAGTATGGTTATTTGTATGGCACTGAGCTTGTGAGCTCAACGTATGGAATGTGTTTCCGTGCACAGGTTCTTAGGTGCCAGTGGAGGAGCTCGTCGCGAGACTTGAGATTTTCAGATTCGTTCTTCTTGCAAAGTACGTCACGAGTATTATAGTGGGCATGTACTGTCATAGACCATTGTTATGTATTTGAGTCATAAACTCTGATTTATACTTACATAATTTGGAGACTGTTGTTGGGAGCTCCTCATATTTTAAATACTATAATTTTGTAATACTATTATATTTTTAGATTTATATCATGTTCGAAGATCAATTTGGTCAAATATTTTTCAAAAAAAAAAGGTTAGCCACCTAGGTGGTTTAGTGTGATATTCTAATCATCCAAACTTCGGGTTAGATAAGATTAGTGTGTTACACGTTTAGTAGTTAAGAGTTCATATTTTTCTCGGATGAATATATGCTTTTATGTCAAAAGTAAATCTGTAAAATTTTAAAGTGCGACGAGCTTATAAAATTTTGAGGGATGAAAATAATTTTTTAATAGAAATTATAAAAATATATCTAAATTATATAGAAATTTAAAATTTTTGGAGGACCACCCGCCCGCGTAAGTATGATCTCTTCCATGTTAAAAAAATATACATTCCCCTCATGTTTTAGAATTAATATTTAATATAATGAAAAATATATATCATAAATAATTAAATGCATCAAAGTTTTAAATAAACCCTAAATCACAAAAATCAAAACATATAGCATTATAATTTTAAATAAACCCTAATTCACAAAAGTCAAAACATGTAGCATCATAGTTTTAAATAAACCCTAATTCACAAAAGTCAAAACATACACTTTAAATTGTTTGGTTTTAAAGGAGTTGTTGAGCACATTTCTTTTCATTTCATTTCGTATGAGAAAAAACATGGTTTTC